GAGAAAATGCCCAGAACTTTACTGGTAAACCATGAGCCTCATGGTTAAATATCAAATAATAGAATTGGGTTAATTTAACATGTAAGTTAGAAATACACTTAAGCTATCGGCCAAACAGTATTGCAAATAATGCAGTTTCTGTGTGATTATTTTGGGTCTGGGTGGCAAGGAAATAAACAATCAGCCTCCACCAACAGGCAGATCTCCTTCCATCATCTCACCCCACTCACCCAGGGCATGAGGAAGGACAGGGCCAAGATATCTGTGGGTGCATGTGTATATGTGTTTATCAAACTATGTGTGCATGCACGTGTATGTACGTGTGTGTGTGTGTGTGTGAGAGAGAGAGAGAGAGAGAGAGAGAGAGGGACAGAGAGAGGAGAGAGAGAGAGAGAGAGAGAGAGAGAGAGAGAGAGAGAGAGAGAGAGAGAAACTTAGTTCTCCTACCATGGTCAGCATGTCTGGGGTTCTGTATTCAGTCCTAAATCAGACACTGTGGCCTATGAATAAAGTGACCCATCCTTATCAATTAAGTTGTTCAGTTATTCATCCTCACCTCTCACCAACTGCCCCATCCACTCCTTTCTCTGTAGCTTCCCACCAGATGTGTGCTTTCTCACCTCTGGCTGTTTGCAGGTACTGCCTGTCTTTCTGGCTTACTTTGTCTTCACTGTTCTCCACCTTAGAGCCTATAGTGCTGGCCCAAGTCTGACACATAAGCCTTCTGTGTGCTCCAGTAGTTACCTGTACTAAACATACATAGAATATGACCAGTGTGGACATGCTGACCATTTGATTTGGGAGGATTATATCGTATGGTTGCTGAATAGTGGATCTTGTCATGAGTCTACTGCTTGTCCTAGTACATGGTTGTTGACTAGATAACAAAGGAAATCTATCCAGCATTTAGCTAGATGATAACAAAGTCTGGGTGTAAACATAAGCATATTGCATTCTTCTCATTTTGTATTGTAGGGGTACTTACATAATTTTATTCTCAGCTATGAGTGGTTCTCTCAATCTGCCTTACTGGTTTATGCTAACCTATTTCTAAGCCTTTGAGATTGGGCATATTACTCTTGCTTTTCTGTCTAGGTTCTGCTTGAATACATCCTTGTTCCTTGTAAGCTCCTCCTTCAGGATCAGTATGCTGACATTCACAATCTATGTCAGGAAGAATTAAAAACATATGGAAATTTTTAAAGAAAATCATTTTCTGAATGATGACAAAAGTTTACTGATGTTTGCATATTTAAGAGTTTTCTATTAAAATGCACTAATTAGAAATCATTCATTTAAAACTCTTTATGGCATCAGTAGCTTTTTGGTGGGTTTTTAAGGTGGCAACCAGTCCTTCTGTCCAAGTGCTACCCCGTTAAATATTATTCATATCACTAAATATTTTGGTAGAGAGAAAAAGCAGTATATTAATGGTTTACATACATTTTTCTACTCTGTAAAAATTTTATGCTGATCTCTCACCTACCCTCCATTAACTTCTCATAGTTCCTCATAGAGGGATGGGACCTTATGAGCCTTTCTCAATGAATGATGGAGTGGTGAAGCCCCAGTATTATATAGCTCTGCTTCAGGAAAACATGGCTGCATGGAATTCCTGAGTGCAGTCATTGTGTCCTCTCCTGAAGACCCAGTTTCCAGCAATTCTCCCCCAACTCTGACTTTTATACCCTTTCTTGTTCCCCCTTCTACAGTAACACCAGAGCCTTGGGTGCTGTTGTGGTGGTTAATTTTTGCCAGTTTGACAGAAACCTATACATAATGTGGGATGAGGGAGGGAAATTCTCCATCACATTTTCCTGTAGGCAAGTCATTGGAGTCATTTTCATAATTAATGATTGATGTAGGAAGGTCCAGCTTACTGTGGGTAGCAGCAATCTGTACAGATGGTCCTCATTCCCATAAGAAAACAGGCTGAGAAAGCCATAGGGAACAGGCCAATAAGAAGTGATGCTCCTTGGCCTGCCTCTCTCTCTCTCTCTCTCTCTCTCTCTCTCTCTCTCTCTCTCTCTGTATTTGTGTTTGTGAAAGACAAGAAAGATATGTAGAGGTCAGAGACACCATCTGGGAGTTGGTTTAAATCTCCTATCATGGATTGCAGAAATGGAATTTAGGTTATCAGACTTGTATGGAATATGGTCTTAGGTGCAGAGCCATTTCAATGGCCCTTTTCCCATGTTTTCTTTCCATTAAAAAATAAAAACAGAAGTGTTTTTTATATTTCTCTCCCTCCCTAAATAAGCAAATGCTTGTAAAATGCTAGCTAGTAAGGAAAACATAGGGCTGTGCATGAGCTTGGGGGTAGTGTGAGCTTGCCTCATATATGGGTCCAGAAGAAATCATTATATATCCCCTGCTCTTTGATTTATTCTCATGTGTTGTATATAACCATATATAGGCCTATAGGGAATTTTCTTCAGAATTTAAGATTTCTTATAACTCAACACTAGAACGACAGCCCAGTGACACAGAGGGAAATTTCTGAAGAGAAATTTTGTTAGTATTCAGGCACACCCTCACACAGCACCTCACACCATCTGCCTGGCTATATAGCAAATGGTATCCTGTCCCTTTAAGAGACCCTCCGTTCACTCTCAGTCTCTCTAGTTCTCTCCCTCTCTTCCTCCCTCCCTCCCTTCCCTCTCTCTCTCCTTCTCTCTTTCCGCCACTGAGGAAAGCAGGTCTCAGCCTCTTTTCCTTCTCCATCCTCCCTTTCTCTCTTTCTCTTTCTCTCTGTCCCTTCCTCCCATCCCTTCCTCCCCACTACACCTCCCCTTTTAATAAAACTTCGCACTCAATCTTCATCTACATGGCATATTTGTCTGTCCCTTACCAGCCGCGGGTTGAACCTCACCCACATGCCATGGGACCTGGAAAGATTTCCAAATGTCCCACTGGCACACTGGAAGATGTTCAGCACCATCAGCCATCAAGTGTTGCAAATCAAATTTCAATGAGATGATACTTGATATCATTAAGATAGTGAAAATACAAAAGATAAGTCAATCCTGATGGCATAGCTCTACAATTCCAGCACTTGGTAGAGGAGTGTGTGTGTGTGTGTGTGTGTGTGTGTGTGTGTGTGTGCATCACATATGAGTTTGAAGCTGGACAGCAAAATATGGTCTAAAAATTGAAAAGTACATGTTGCATGCTGAGGATATAAGTCACAGGGAAAGCACTTGTCTAGCATGCACAGGTGCTGGGACACATGTGAGAGTGTAAACATACCAGAGAACAGGAACCTGCTACATTACTGCTGGAATGTAGATTAAAATGGTGCAGCCACCAGCACCTGAGCATTTATATAAGAAAAAAGGGAGATATCCCAATTACCTACTGCTTGATGAGTAGGAAAACAAAGGGTGGTATGTTAATACAGTGGTCTAGTTTATAGTCATGGAAAGGGGTAGAGAAAAGATACATCCTATAACATGAATAAATATCACAAACATTAAGTTCAGCTGAATGTAGCCAAAGGACTGAAGAGTGGGACACTTCTTTATTAGATGATTTGATTTCTCTTTAATACCCAGAATGAGACACTTGAAACAGAAAGTTGGAGTGGTAACTAATAGGTGATGGGGGTCTGGAGAAATGAAGAGTAACTACTAATGAATAAAGTGGTTTTTCTCAAATGACAAGATTATTTTAAAAGTAAAAAAATGATGGTTGCATAATTTTAAGAACATAGTAAAAAATACCTACTGGCTTATATACTTTAAAAGAGTGAACTTATTACATAAATGTATTACTTCTCAATATCTACAGATCACATTTATTTCATGTCCATGTATGTTTTGTCTGCATCTATGTATGTTCACTGTGTGTATGTCTAGTGCCTGCAAAGAGACAAGAGGGTGTTGGATCCCCTAGATATAAATATCTGTGAACTTCCATCCATTTGGGTGTGGTTGTAGGTTGAAGGGTTTGTGCTGAGAGGTATTGAGGACTACTTTTCTCCTCCAGGGGCATGTAGAGTACCTTCCAGTACAGTGAACTGTGGTTAGTAGGTGAATAATGTAGTTAGACACCAGCTCAACATCTCCATATTTAATGACAGAAGTGTTCCCTCCAGAAACAAGACCTTAACATCAGTTTGTGTGAGCAACCAAGAGCCATGGCAATAGCCTGTGCTATTTGGTGGTTTCCATGGGTCCCTTTGGTGAATGACTCAACAGGCTGTAACCTGTTCCTGGCACCGGAGGTTTCATTTGGTGGCACTAGATATCTAGTTGAAGTCTTCTTTCCCCTGTTTTTTTTTTTCTCCCTGTGATTCCTTTCACATATGTATAGGAAGATTCTGGGATAGTCAGTGTTCATATAGTTTTTCAAAGGGCCTTTAGTATTGGTTGTCTCTCTCCATTTTCCTTCTTTTACCTTTCTGTCCCATCCCCCTTTCATTAAACCATCCAATTCTAGTTTTCCTTAATAGCTACATAACACTATAGACTTTTTCCTTTCCTTGAGAGATACTCTCCTTTCTCCTGGTCCCTTACTAGGTTCCATACCTCTGTGGATATTCAGATTGAAGTTCCCATATCATCAGAACCTTAACACCCTTAAAAGAAAAAACATACAATATTTGTCTACATGTACTGAGCACTGTATGCTTTTGTCGCTGGAGTCTGACATGGGCATGCACAGAACACACACATGGTGCACAGCTGCTGAATACCATTGTGAGCTCATAGCGCATCACAATGCCCCTGTAACTGTGTTGCTAAGGAGGAAGCAGAATTCAGCTCACACTGAACCAAGGATCTGCCCAAGCAGGACGCTTATTTGGTTCAGTGGGGAGTCTTAACTAGATTTTGAACGTTTACTTGTTGGATTTGGGAGGGTGCTGGTGGCTAAAGGGGAAGGCAGGGAGGGACAGTAGGGCCGGGAGGGCCGGGAGGGCCGGAGGAGGGTACGGGGTTGTCAGGAAGGCCAGGAGGGCCAGGAGGGCTGGGACGGCCTGTGGAGCCTTGAGCCTCAACATGCAGGAGGACTTCAATTATGATGCCTTTACCATTCCGTCCCCTCAGCGGACTCGCTGGTATACCCGCCTGTGGTCTGCATGCCGGGGTTGTGGGTGCTTGTGTCGAAAAAAGCAGCGATTTCCCTTGTACCTTATTGGGTATGATCCCGTGGGACGGTTCCAAAGGGCGGCCAGTGTGGGTGATGTCGCTTTAGTGGAGAGATTAATCAATGCCAGTGAACACCATGTTAACGAATGCGACAGGAGGGGCAGGTAATGGGGCCTGAGGAGGGGCGAGGGGCAGGAGGGGCAGAAAATGTTGGGGACAGTCAGGGTCTACCAGGGAGAAACATACCTTCCATATCTGCAGCCTGTGGGAGAGCAGATGTCATGCTTAAGACTCTTCTTTCATGGAGACCTCCGGGTTTGTACCTGCTTTAGGCTCCTAGGCATCTGAAACCTGTACACCTTGGAAGGGCATCTCTGAGACTTTCTTTTTTTTTTCACATTTTTCTTTTTATTTATTCTCTTTTTTTAAATTTATTTATTTATTAAAGATTTCTGTCTCTTCTCCGCCACCGCCTCCCATTTCCCTCTCCCTCCCCCAATTAAGTCCCCCCCCCAGCCCGAAAAGCAGTCAGGGTTCCCTGTCCTGTGGGAAGTCCAAGGAACCCCCACCTCCATCCAGGTCTTTCTTTAAGAGAAGCAAAACAAAGAACTTCAGTTAGTTTACAAATCCCTTTATATTGTCTCTTTTAGAGCACTTTATTGAGGGCTTTACAGGAATTTAGCTAAGAAAACTACATACATCTTTTTATGTGTACACTTAAAATTTTTTAGGTTTGAGTGTTTTGGCTGCAGGTATTTTCGGTGTACCACACAAGCATAGGAAGAGGGTGTTGGATCTCCTGGAACTGGAGTCATGGACAGTTGTGATCTGCTGTGTGGGTGCTAGGAATCAAACCCAGGCCCTCTGCAGGAAAAACTAGAGCTTGTAAATGCCAAGCCATCTCTCCAGCCCTTTAATGTATATGTTCTTAATGCAATGTTATATGCAACACAGAAACTTGTATCATAAGATAAATTTTCACATAAAAAGCCAACTCAAAGCCAAAAAAAAAAAAAAGAATTACCAAGAAATCTTATGTCTGTTTCATGCTTGCTGAGGGATTTCATAAGGAAATTTTCAACTTGAACTATAACTCTGTCCCCTAGCCCCTTATATACATGTGTGTGTTTTGGTACATACATGAAGGCTAACGGTTGACATTCTCTTTGAAAATTTCTTTTCATCTCATTAAAAAATCATATGTGTGTTTGCACCTGTGCCTCACACATGCCAAATAAGTGTGTGAAGGTCAGAAGAGAACTATCGACAGCTGTGTTCTGCCACATTGTGGATTCTGGGGATTGAACATAGGCCATTGGCTCTGCCAGTAGGTGCCCTACCTCATGAACCACCCTGTGGTTCCTCCACCTCAGCTTTTTAGACAGATTCTCTCACCCAAATCCCTGCTGTGTTTGACTGATCGTCTTGGAGTATACTGATTGATCTAGACTTGCTGGCAAGCAAGATTTGGGGATCCTCTTGTATCCACATCTCCAGCACCAGATTCTCAAGGTGCTGGGGGTTCTGAAGTTGGGGTCAGGCTTGCAGGTTGAGTGATTTCCCAACTGAGTTGTAACAATCACTGCGGTCCTCTTTTTTAGTCCTTGTTTCCTGTTTCTCACTAGATTATAGGCAGGAAACAATGACCCTCAACAGTAGATTCTCCATAGCTCACATGCTTCTTGATCATGTCTGTAGTTCTGAGGTTATTTAGTCTATAGTTATTCAGTCTTCCAAATTAGAGCTTCATACAAATAATAGAACAGTAAATTATTGTTTCAAAGTATTTTTGCTTAATAAGTGTATCCTTTAAAAACACTGAATTTTCCAGCTGTATTTATCCGTTATGCCAATCCACTTATTCCCTGCACGTAACTTAGATATCTACTGTACAGCATACAAATCTACTAGCTTTCAAGACTTTCTCATTCTTAAAATATTACATGTCTCTGTCCCGTCAGTTTTCCTGATGTTCTATAAATTTAAATATTGAAAACAAGGAATGATGCTCAACTGAATCACTAGTATTTTTTTGTCTTTAAGCTTTTTGAAAATCAAAGCAAGGGAGCTATAATACCAAGGGTTATCTCCTTCTGGATATATTTGCTCAGTTTTGGTGCTAATTCATGGAGGTATAAGGCAAAGCCATTTGCTACCACCTGGTGTCTATATTAACATGGACATTCTGTCTATTGACTGAGGACTATGCTGTGTCCCTATAGGAAGCAAATATAGAAACATTAATTCTGGGCATTGAGAAATGAAAAAAATTAAAGTATTGATGAATGAAAATTTAGATTTTTGTTTGTTATTGCTATTCTAAATATGTTTACATTTCATAGTCTTAAGAGCTGAAATTTACATAGATACATGTGACCTTTAGAAGTGTCATGGGTCTGTGGATTGTGTCATATTTCATTGGATGTAAGGCACAATGGACTGCATGGTGACCTTTTATTTTGTATGGTAGCAAAGTAAAAAACATTGCCAATTATATTCATAAAATATGAATTATAAGTGGCAGACATCAACGATGCTAAAGTGTGAAATAAAAAGTAAGGTAGGTACAGTGCAACTGCCTGAATTCCTACCTACTGTGAGGATTACCAAGTTCAAGGCCAGCTTAGGGAATATAGTTTTAAAATATTGTAAAGATACTTGAGTAAAAACTTTCACATCTGCAGTAGGTAAAATTCTGCTATTTCTCTTCATTGAAATATTGTGTTTGTTACCATTAGGAACAAATTGTAATTGTATCCAGCAACACTGAGCTGTCAGGTGCTGGAAGCATTTGTACGTGCTCTTGAAGATGTGAGTTGAAGCGTCACAGCAGCACTGTGTAAGAGAGCTGTAGTATTGAATCCCCATTCTACAGATGGAGAGATTGATTTGTGGAGCTCATAGGAAGTCTGTGTTGTAACTAGTAACAATCCGTGATTAGAGTAGGATTCAAATCCAATCTGAGTTCAATCTACTGGGCATTCTCCTGTTATCCAGAGAGGCTGCTCTGAGGAAGGATGAAGCTTGTGATAGAGCACTCGCCTTGAATGGGACAGCCATGCGCTATATAGCTAGCACAGAAAATGAACACCTGAGTAGAGAAATAAGTAAATAAGAAAATTTTAGTTTCTTCTCTTACATCAGAAGGAAATGCACATTGGTGTCTACTTGAGTGTGCCTTTACATAATAATCTGTAATTTCCTAAAATGTCCTCTCAATTTGTAGGAGTCCACTTCACTACGCTTCTGCCCATAATCATCCAAATGTAGTAAGATTGCTATCATCCAACGACTGTACCGATATTAATATGAAGAATGATGAAGGCTGCACACCCTTAATTAAGGTAGCTATCGGGAAACACTTTTGGTATAAAATGGATTAGAAATTATCCTTGTTTGGTTTTTGTTGCTGTGATGAAACACTAGCCAAAACCATCCCAGGAAAGGAAAGGTTTATTTGGCTTACAATTCCACATCACAGTCAGTCATGAAGGGAAACCAGGTCAGGAATTCAATCAGGACCTGAGGCAGGAAATTAAGCAGAGGTCATGAGGGAACGATGCTTTTCCATGGCTTTTTCCAAGGCTTGCTCAGATTTCCTATACTACTCAGGACAACCTTCCCAGTCATGCCATCACCCCTAGGAAGCTGTGCCCTCCCATATCAACCTCAATCAAGAAAATACTATATACAGGCTTCCCAGAGTCCAGTCTGGTGGAGGCAATTCTTCAAGTGAGGTTCCTTCTTTCCAGGTGTCTTCAACCTGTGTCAAGTTATCAAAACAAGCAAATGAACAAGCAGCCTCCCCCATTACAACAATGGCCAAACAGTGCTAGTGAAATCCTTTAATATCTAGGTGTGGTGGCACACCTCTGAAACTCTACCACTTGGAAAACTTTGGTGGAGAGTTTATGAATTTAGGAAAGTCTGGGTACTTGAGAGGGATAATATGCATGACCTAAACAATTGGTCTGATCCAAGGGTAACTAGTCAATGGAATTTTTGGCATGCTTATTAAAGTTCTTGATTTCAGTGTCTCTTTCTTTATCCAATACCCACAGGCCGCCCAGCGGGACAGTATAGAATGCATCTCTATTCTACTCATACACGGTGCTGATCCCAACATTGTAGATGACAGTGGCGATGCTGCCCTCCACCACGCCATTTGCAGAGGGAACATACCAGTTGTCAGCAAACTGCTGGAGTATAATGTAGATATTAAAGCCAAAACAGAGGTAAGAATCATTCAACTTCATTCACAATGTACTTCTAGCAATGACACTCAGATCACTTTCCACATTCTGAAGCTCAAGCAGTCTCACTGAATCTGTTCAGAGTAAAGCATTTTTTCCAAATCTGTTTTTCATAATTTTGTAGGTAACTTAAAGGAACTCAGCACAGCACATTTTGTTTCAGACTTGGGCTTTTCTTTAAAATTCAAGAAGTAAAGGACTTGGGCCCACACATACTTCATATACACACAAACAATGAAAAAAAATAATTTTAAGCTAAATGTCTGTAGAAAAAACAGAAATCTGTTGCAATTAAGAAGTTACTGATGTGACTTGTCCCTCAGAGATGAGACTAGAGTGGGAAGTTCACAGGCACACAGGTATATGTGGAAATTTGATCATTGAAGAAAACATGCTGAGAAGATATTTTCACTTAACTTTTTCAGATTTTATATGTACATAACAAAGGGGCCAAAATGGGACTCTGTCTTAGACAAGGAGCAACTCCATTGTAATTAATGACCTAAGACTGAATCCAGGACGCTCCCCAGTCAAGTTTAGCCAATTGGGTAAACAGTTCCAAACCTGGCCATATAGGTCCGGGAGACCAGAGTTGCAGGATCTGACTGCTACTGACTATATGTGACAGAAAAATCCCACAACGGATGAAACTGTTACTAATTCTGTCCAATCAACATGCCCCCCATGTAACTGCTCCCTGACTGCCCAATTATTGAAAAGATGTTTAAAAGATTAAAAAGATAGAATTCCCCACATCCACTTTAAAAGGGCCTGTATGTCTTTGTCCGTGGTCCTCATTATCACTTTATATGGGTGATGGACTGCTTGCTGCATGCTGGCTATTTCTGAAGAATAAGCACTCTTTGTGTTTACATACCATTTGAGTCTGAGGTCTTCCTCCAGCATCTTTTGGACCACTGCAACAGGAAACTATGTTTGGTTTGGGAGAAAATTTTTAGGTTAGGGAAAATAGTTTTGAAAAACAGGTTGAGAAACTGCTCCAGAGATGCCACTTGAGTTCATTCATTCAAGAGAGGCATACCAAATCTATCTCCACGTTTTAGGATTGGGGCAATGGAGGCACATCTCCATGGAGCTAAGAAACTTGGAACCAGCAAGCGTTTGTGGGAAGTTCTGGAAATAGTGGTGTTCACGAGCATTGTTGGACAGGGGAAGATGTTTCAAAGAAAAGGGAAGCCCTGTGTGTGTGAATCTGCAGCAAGGGCTGAAGGAAAATCTATCCCTTTGTGACTCATTTTGTTTACAAAAATATGTGATACATTTTTCATTTGAGAAGCATGTCAATTTATAAAGTGAAATTTTTCCTTTACAGCATGGGTTGACACCCTATAAACTCGCTTTGTTTCAAAATCAACTTGAAATGGTGCAGTTTTTAATTGAGAACGGTGCAGATGCACATTCTGAGCTTACACCATATAGGTACTGTTTCTTTTTTACAATCTTAGTGCTGTTCTTGAGGGTGTCATTGCTTAAGTAATGAACACTAAAATGCTAGAGGGAATATGGCTTCAACTCATAAGCACATATTGAGAAAGACTATCAAACAGGGCATGTGAGCTGGAAAAGAGACTGTTCCAACATAAAAAAAGGAACAGTGTGTACCAGGACTCAGCTTCCCATTTAAAAACAAGTTGTCATTTCTAATCTGATTTGATTGGCAATTTTCTACTTGTTAAGGCAACTTCACATTAATGTTGCTTACTTTGAAAAGTTTCAACTTTATTTTCAACACTGAAATGTATAGTTTTATTATTTTTAGCCTGTTCTTTATATATTTTCTTCTTATATATGTTCAACTTAAATTTTTTTTTCAAATCATGTTGTCTCTTTGATCACTCACTCTACTTTAAGTGAATTTTGAATAAGCAAATAGATTAGGGTATCCATCAATTAGATGATATTACCAGATGCTATTATTTTTTCCCCTCTACTGTCTGAAATATCTTGACACTGTGTTAGTCAGATGTGAATCTGTACACCCAAACTTCTGAAACAGCTAATCTGGATAAGGACACTTGTCCAAAATGAGTACAAAGAACTAAGACTCCATTGAGAAAATGCCTCCATAAGATCTGGTTGTAAGGCATTTTCTTAATTAGTGATTGATGGATAAGGGCCCAACACATCATGGGAGGTGCTGTTCCAGGGCTCATGGCCCTGAGTTCTATAAGAAAGCAGAATGAGCAAGCCAGTAAGCAACTCCCTTCCATGGCCTCTGTAAGCTCCTGCCTCCAGCTTCCTTGCCCATTTGAGTTCCTGCCCTGTCTTTCTTTAATAATGGACTATGGTGCAGACATATAAGTCAAATGAATCCTTTGGTCCCCAAGTTCACTTTGGTCATGGTGTTTTATTACAGAAATAGCAGCTCTAAATACTTGGTATTTAAGATGAGTTCAGCATTAAAAATCAAATGATTACCTTTTTTGTTTATACATGCAAGTTTAAAGTCAGATGAATTAAAAAGTAAAGCCTGTGTTTTGTGTATTTTTTATTGAAAATACACTTTGTACATACCATATATTCTAAAAATGGTTTAGCATCCCTCATCTTCATGTACTTGTTTTTGTGTCAGAGGATATGCATACACTGATATTCCCATCAAGACACAGTACAACACTGTGTTATGGCTTTGTCTTCCATCTTATTTGAGGCATTTTTTTATTTTTATTTGGCAGTTGGCCACTTACTCCAGGTAACAGGCTGGGAAGCCTCTTTGGTATCTTACTACCTCCACTTCCTTTGTACTATAAAAGTGCTGGGATTATAGATACATTACACAGTGTCTGACTTTTTGTTGAATTCCAGGTATTCAAATTCTGGGCTAATGTGACAATTATGTATACCCACTGAGCCATCTATCTGGCTCTAAAACACTCAATTTTTATTTTTTTAATTAATTAATTTATTTATTAAGGATTTCTGCCTCCTTCCTGCCACCGTCTCCCATTTTCCTCCCCCTCCCCCAATCAAGTCCCCCTCCCTCGTCAGCCCGAAGAGCAATCAGGGTTCCCTGCCCTGTGGGACATCCAAGGACCACCCACCTCCATCCAGGTCTAGTAAAGTGAGCATCCAAACTGCCTAGGCTCCCCCAAAGCCAGTACGTGAACAGTCAATTTTCAAAAGAAGAGTATGAGCCTAAATTAAAGAGGTGGTTATAATTATGGAATTAAGGCTTCTGAGTGCAGAGCACTTTCAATTAAACCTCTAATCCAGTTAGAGCGCCTGTGTTTCCCTCTAAGAAGAACCATTTGAGGTCATTTTATTCTTCCTTTAATACACGATAGACAGAAATTTGTAAAGCTGGTACTTTTGATGAAAATAACATGGAATAGCACAGTTTTAGGAATTCATGACTAGGAATATGTCTCAGGAATAAAGTACTTATCATACAAACCCAAGATTTCAGAGTTCAACTCCTCAGAACTCAGAAAGGGCCTCATGTGCATGTGTGCATCTTAACCTCAGGGAACCTTGAGGGACATGGGAGATGGAGACAGGAGACTGTCTAGAAAGTTATACTTTACATAGTCTTGCTTTTTACAGCTCTTAACAAGAAACTCTGTCTCAAAACTAAGTTAGGAGGCAAGGACTGCCAGTCAAGGATGTCCTCTGACCTAAAAAACATGCACTAGGATCAACAGACACAAATGCATACACAGATGTGAACAGGAACGCATATCAAATTTAAAGATGAAAAAGAAATTTAGATTGTTGATCTAATAACACTGGGGATCATTATCTGCTAAAAAGACATTGGAAATAGTGGTCAAGGTTGAAGGTTTTCTTAGTTTTCTGGAGATCACTCCAGCAGCGGTGCTATTTTGGACAAGGTTCACACCGCAGGTGAAAAGTCCCCTGACGAACTCCAAGACCGTAATGACAGCCAAAGCAGAAACTAGGAAAATAAAGCTGCTGGTCCAGAGTATCCTGGCAATAGGCCCTGAAGTACAGCAGTCTTAGCTGTGGACCTGGAAAGAATATAGCTGACAAAAGAGTGTTGCTTTCCTTGAGTTTTGAAGCTGGTTGTGAGTTACAAAGACTCAGGATTACACAAAAAGGCTTATGAACAAAGAAACAGCCAGGCGGTGGTTTCAGCATTCACACATGGAAGAACTGTTAAAACAATTTGAAGGTACCACAACTGTCACAGCTTATGAGAATGCAGGCAGAAGGATGCTTAGAAGCAAAAAAAAAAAAATACTTTTTCATATACTGACCATTGAGAGCATAGTACTCAACAAAATACCTCCAAAGAGTTCTGACAGAGAGGACTGTGGGGCCATAGGGACAAGCAGGCAGATGAGTGGAACAGGAACACTGACTCCACAAGCATATAAATACAAGGTTACTGGAGCATTTAAAGCAAATCATATGGAAAAAGCACTACTATCATTAGTGTGTGTGTTTTAATCAAGAGCTAAATTTTCTCTGTTTCTTCTCTGTGAGGGAAGGTGGGAAGGACAGCAGTCATTAATCATCACCAACTGTTGAAGAATTAGTATAGAGTTCTTAGGCTGGGCCTTGTTGCCCATGCCTTTAATCCAGAAACTTGGAAAACAGGAGGCACAGAGATCTCTTTGATTTCAAGACCATCATGATGCATATAGTGGGATTAAAGTCAGCTGGACTGCATAATGAGATCCTGTTTCAAAAAATTATTTGTAAATATCTAATGTATAAGGAGCGGCGGGGCTGCTTCCCGCCACCCGGCTGGCTTTATACCCGAAATAATTACACGGAAACTGTATTCTTTTAAACACCGCTTGGCCCATTATATCTAGCCTTTTCTCGGCTAACTCTCGCACCTGGACTAGCCCATTTCTTATAACCTGTGTAGCCCATGAGCTGGCTTACCAGGAATGATCTTAACCTGCATCTGTCTGGAGTGGGAGAATCATGGCGACTCCTGACTCAGCTTCATTCTCCCAGCATTCTGTTCTGTTTACTCCTCCCACCTATGTTTTAACCTATGAGGACCAAGCAGTTTCTTTATTGCTTAACCAATGAAATCAACAGATTGATATATGACACTCCCGCATCATTAAGGACTCAAAAATAAAGAATTTAGAAAACATGCTAAGTGTTTTTATATGAATAGTTAAATGCTGATCACTTTTAAACATATGTCACAGTGGAGGAGCAGCTGCAGTAGAATCAGAACAATCAACAAAAAAGTGTGCCAACTTCCACAAAGGTAAGAATGACTCCAACTGCTCTTACCTTCCCTAAAGAAAATAAGAAAGAGTAAAGATTTTAGAACCCCAAAAAGGAGTTAAGGCAATCAAGGATAAATGCAGTTCTGTGGTTTTCAAATATTCGGAAAAGTCAGAATTAAGAAATTATTTCAAAGAACTTTCAACTGTGAAAATATATTGTCAAAACATTGCTTATTTTATATTAATGCTAATATCTGTACTGCCGTTGAATAAAGGAGAAATCAACTTTACGCACATGTGTCCTCCATAGTCACATTGTAACAAATAGGATTATTAGAAATACATATTCTCCTTGAGTTTTATGACAAACTTTGTATTTTGTACTGCATAACAGTACACAGGTAGGTGTCACTAGAATGTCATTATGTCACAAACCAACCTCAGTAATCAATAACTTTCATTAAATAATTTCCTACCTTATGATATAATTAAAATCTTCTGACTTCTTTAATGTCTGAGCAATTTCTCAATTTGGACAGTTTTGTCCTACTGTATAATTGTTTTCTTTAGAAATCTCCCATTTTAGGGTGAAAGCTTCGTTCTGTAATGAAGGTATTGAGTTTATGAAGACTTATCAATCCTGACATGTTTTCCTTTTCTTTTTCTTTCTTCCTTCCTTCCTTTCTTCTCTTCTTTCCTTCTTTTTTGTTTTGATTTGGTTTTCTAAAGTGCTAGACATTGAGCACAAGGCTTTGGGAGCATTCTAGGCAAGCACCCTACCCATTATCCCTGCCTTCAGTACTTTTCTCTTTAGTTTTTCTGAAATAGAACATGGTAAGGGTGAATATCATTTCCATGCTGCAAAGCATGATTCAAGAATAAAAACTGAAAGAAAAAGCAGAGTGTAGAAAATGACATCATTCTGTATTTCAAAGAATTGTCTGCTTCTCCATTGAGTCTGGAGAGACTTTGTGGCAGTGGCAGGAGCACCACGTAGTATTTGCTTTCAGTAACTGTCATCACAGTGTCTTTTATACCTAAGCTGCCAGTGGCAACTGCACTAGGTAGAGAATCCAAAACCCTTTCCCTCAAGAGGTAAGATGAAAAGAGTCAATATTATTGTAATGGAGACAGCTTTGTGTCACTTTATTATGAAGTTTTCTGTTCATGGCATCTGTGGTGGTGAGAACTGACTGAGGCCTCCTGCATAATAAGCATAGGCTTTCCTACTGAGTCGCAATCCCAGTCCACTAGTTGGTGGCTCAAGTTACCTTCCTGAGTCATGAGGAATGCTTAAAAGCACATTAAGTTTCTCTGACTTTAATCAAGACAAAAACAATGAATGAAGGTTTCATTTCATTTTTGTTTTCTTATGTTTATTTTGGTTTTGTGAGACAGGGTTTTCCTGTGTATTGACTTTGAGCCTAACCTGAAACTCATTCTGTAGACAAGGCTAGGCTTGAAATTACAGAGATCTGCATGTCTCTGTTACCAAGTGCTGGGATTAAAGGAGTGTACCATCACTGCCCAACTCAAATGTTTATTTCTAAAAGCAAGCTGCAAGTGTCTAGGGAAGGATTGAGTGAGTTTATTGTTTACATATGTAAACATGTACAATGATCCTATGTCAGAAGGAAGCCCATGGAATTTGCTGCTCCAGTCTCATAGCTGCTTCTCTGATGCTCTCTCACCTGAGGTAGAGCTCGGGGTTATTACTACCAAAGGAGAGATCTTTCCAGTAATTCATTTCAGGGGAGATGATGCCTGCTTTCTTGAGCATCCTTTAAGCTGCATATAAGGCTGGGAACACAGATGGAACTAAGGATATTCTTCCCACAATAGGGATGAGGCGAGGAAGCCTGTTGCACTCCCTTGAGCTGTTATGTAAAAGTCTTTGCCCCTTTTCTCTTTCTTTCTGTTAGGTTATACCCTGATACAAAAGACAGAAGCCATACATCTATTCCTAGTGGTAGCAATTTGCACCATAAAATGAACAATTTTAACTAAAAAGCTGAGCAAGATTCTTTGTTTCCCTGAAGAACAAGAATGTGTATAGGCTCATGGATTTTTTTTTCCATTTTGAATATGTTGTTTTGTTTGTGAGACACAGTCTCATTTTTACATAGTTCTGGCTGTCTTGGGAATCACAGGGATGGACCTGCCTTTGCCACCCATGTGCTGGGATTAAAGTTGTGTGCCAATATCTAGACTCTAGAATTTTCTCAAGTGTCTTTATCCCAAAGTCAAACAAGAACCACAGAAGCTATTTTGTGACACAGTCAATTGATGCTTATACTGGTAAGGATGCTGTTTTCCATCTGTCTGAGAGAGACCATTTAGGATCATCTCAATTGTTTATGGGTGGGTGTTTACCTTTAAGTATTATGCTTGTTAAATTTAAGTCTTCTTTGATTTGAAATATAAAGAAAATGAATGAATTCCACATGAAGACATTTCTTACAAAAAGTACTTATTCTAGGATAATCTAGATTTATCTAAAAATTATACTATGCGTCTAATAATTTTATATGTTATATTTCTCTAGCATTGTAATGAATTAATTTTGATTTTTTCAGAAGAAAATTTCAGCACTGACATAATGCCTTCTTGCAGGTAAGGTCTAATGATATATAAAGACTAAGGAAAGTCAAAGATAACAAGTTAATTATTGGTTGTATTCTCAGATAGATACCGATTTATACACTCAATTTTTGTGTTGTCTTACAATCCCCACAGTATTATCTGTATTTTTAGACTGAAAATTTATTGTTTTTAGATCATGGGCATGAGGTTTATACTCAACCATCATTTCCCCTGTACCAATTCTGTGTTTTGGAAAATGAGCTTCCTAATGTTTACCACACACACTATGTCCATCTGACACTCCTTGCCTTTTCAAAAATTGCTGAAATCAGCTAGTGAACTAGATCTTCATCGCATTTGTCTTTCTGATAGCTGACAGAATTTGGGATCATTCTGCATTATCAAAGAGTGTTACAAGAAATCAACATCCCCATTGTCTCAGTGTGTGGGTGCACCCCTTGCGGTCCTTAGTTCCTTGCTCGTGCTCTCTCTCCTTCTGCTCCTGATTTGGACCTTGAGATTTCTGTCCGGTGCTCCAGTGTGGGTCTCTGTCTCTGACTCCATTCATCACCTAATGAAGGTAAATATTCAGGAGGATGCCTATATGTTTTTCTTTGGGTTCACCTTCTTATTTAGCTTCTCTAGGATCACAAATTATAGGCTCAATGTCCTTTATTTACGGCTAGAATGTTCTATTGGGAACTCACCAAGGCCAGCTGGCCTGGGTCTGAAAAAGCATGGAATAAAACTGGACTCGCTGAATATAGCGGACAATGAGGACTACTGAGAACTCAAGAACAATGGCAATGGGTTTTTAATTTTACTGTGCATACTGGCTTTGTGGGAGCCTAGGCAGTTTGGATGCTTGCCTTACTAGACCTGGATGGAGATGGGTGGTCCTTGGACTTCCCACAGGGCAGGGAACCCTGATTGCTCTTCGAGCTGACAAGGGAGGGGGACTTGATTGAGGGAGGGGGAGGGAAATGGGAGGCGGTGGCAGGGAGGAGGCTGAAATCTTTAATAAATAAATAAATAAATAAATAAATAAATAAATAAAAGAAATCAACAAATTGTTTGCCTCCTTTGATACCATCTCCACATGCAGAGGTCCTTTTGTTCTGTGTAGGACCCTATTATAGATGGTGAAAGGTCCCATGCCTTCCTCCTACCACAGTGCTCCATCCATCACTTGTTCATTCATGTGAGCTGTTTTCTACAGTAATGAAGTCTCTGGATCTCAGTAGATTATCTGGATGTAGAGAGCCAAGCTGTGGCATGTTTACTCCTTATGTGTTTATAAAAGGGGCTTTGTCTTCCCCATCAGTAGGACATGAACATAGAGTAGAAGGCCCCTTCTGTCAGTGATCTGCTATCTCAGACACCGATTTGGCAGAAAATTAAAGGTGGTATGTTAAGCTAGTTCTGTGCTCATCTTAATAGATTACTTCCATAATAGAGGACAATTGTGTTATCATTTGTGGGAACATGTATCATAAAACATTTGATACACATTAGTAAATTGCTTATTACTAATGATTTATTAATAAATTACTTCAAGTTAAAAGGTCCAAAATGCATCACAGTTAATGTCCAAAGTGCAGATTCATAATTTACAGTAGCTACAACTATTCAAAGACACACCTTGTAAAAACCATGTTCCTTTCTACTAGGAATTCTAAACTATCTCAAGCTAATAACCTGAAATTATCCATTGAGTTTTATTGCTGTTTGTTCATATTTTTATCTCGTTAAGTTTATAGCAATGCTCATTTGGCATAGAGACAGGACGATTGTGGTTTCAAGATTCACTCATGAATGGACTTAAGAGACAGCTTGAGCATATCCTAGGCCATTGTATCTTGTCAGAGTGCTAGCAGAAGCAGGAATCTATTCTATGGTCCACAGACAAACCTTGTGAGAGATAGCATCACGTGCATTGAGAGCCCACAAAGTAACCTGAGAGAGAGGGGTTCTGTGATGCTCTAGGAGCAGATGATGACATGACAAGTGGAATCGGGGTACTAATTACATTGAGCACAAGAGTGACCATCAGTTACTACAGCATTAAAAAATGTGCTGGAGAGAAACTAGTGTCTTTTTTTAAAAAAATTTTTTATTGAGAAAAAAAAAAGTTTCTGCCTCCTCCCAGCCTCCCATTTCCCTCCCCCTCCTCCCACTCCTCTTCTCCTCCCCCCACTCCTCTCCCCCTCCCTCTCCAGTCCAAAGAGCAGTCAGGGTTCCCTGCCCTGTGGGAAGTCCAGGGTCCTACCCCCTCCGTTCAGGTCTAGGAAGGTGAACATCCAAACTGGCTAGGCTCCCACAAAGCCAGAACATGAAGTAGGATCAAAAACCCATGCCATTGTCCTTGGCTTTTCATCAGCCCTGATTATTCGCCATGTTCAGAGAATCCGGTTTTAACCCATGCTTTTTCAGTCACAGTCCAGCTGGCCTTGGTGAGCTCTTAATAGATCAGCCCCACTGTCTCAGTGGGTGGGTGCACCCCTCGTGGTCCTGACTTCCTTGCTCATGTTCTCCTCCTTCTGCTCCTCATTGGGACCTTGGGAGCTCAGTCCGGTGCTCCAGTGTGGGTCTCTGTCTCTATCTCCATCCATTGCCAGATGTAGGTTCTACGGTGATATGCAAGATATTTGTCAGTATTACTATAGGATAGGGTCATTTCAGGTTCTCTATCCTCAGCTGCCCAAGGAACTAACTGGGGACATCGCCTTGGGCACCTGGGAGTCACTCTAGGTTCAAGTCTCTTGCCCACCCTAAGGTGGCTCCCTTAACTAAGATATGTGCTTCCCTGCTCCCCTATCCAACCTTCCTTTATCCCAATCATCCCATTTCCCCAAGTTTTCCCCATCCTCCCCTTCTCACTTTTCTCTCCCCATCTCCCCTTACCCCCATCCCACCCCACCCCCAAAACTAGTGTCTTTGGTGTTCTCTCTGTGTGTCTCTCTGTCTCTCTTTCTCTCTCTATCTCTCTATCTATCTCTGTCTCTCTCTCTTCCTTGTGTGTTTCTATGCTTTTGGTGGACTAATTTCTGTGGACTAAATTCTTTCCTTTCTTTTACATGGGAAAAGCTTTAAAAAGTGTCACCAAACCTAATCAGCTGATTGAAGGACAAGTTAATGCTTGACTGTAAATCTCTAATGTATGTTAGGAAATCAAACAACAGATAAAGCATTCGGTAAATGTTCTTTTATGAATATTAAAATATTACTTTTTAAAATATGCCACAGCGGCGTACAACCACCTGGAGAGCTGAAACCAATACTTAAGAAGTCTCTTCAGATCAGTGGAGGTAAGAGTAATCATGAATGCTTGCTGCTACTTCTCTAGTTTCAATAGCAACTTAATTCATTCAAAAAAGGAACAAAGTAAATAATATATAAACGTAATTTCATTTTTTAAAATTTGCCTCCTAATGTTCTTCACATTCAAAATTATTTAAGAAATGATTTTCTGAGAAATTTCAGTATCAAACTATATTATCTGAACCATGTTTGCTGTCTAATGTAGAGGGTCTGAAAGACTTTATTGAAAAGAGTCAGCATTATTGTAATGTGGGTGACTGTCCTTTACATTATTTCCACACTAAATTTCCTTTGTGGTGACGATGGTTGATGGAGGTCTCCCACATGCTAAGCCTCACTGGCAGTCCATTTGTTGTGGGACAAATGCTCTTCCTCAGCCATAGGGAATGCCAAGGAGGTTATACTGCAGTTCCCATACTGTGAATGAAATAAGCCAATATTTGCTTTATTCCTTTGTAGAGGGCAGGCTGTTAGCATGCAGTGAAAGCTGCTCACTGAAGCTGTGTATGTCTGGACACAAACGTTTCCTGTGAGGTACTACTCCCATGGAATTGCTGCTTGGTCCCCACATTTCTTCCATCCTTCTCACCCTAGAAATACAGTTCAGGGTGCATAGCTACTGCAAGGGGCTTTCCCATAGCTCTTACCATGGGAGGTGATAGCAGCTAGTGCTGAGCTTCTTTGCACTGCCCATTAGCAAGGGACCAGAAGCTAGAACTGAGGGGCTTCTGCATCTTCCTCAGAAGCACTTGAGGAGAGTACACACAATGCCCTCTCTCTCTCTGTAGCTTTGCCAACCTGACATCTGGAAATTCTTTGCCCTTGGTCTACCAGTGTTTCTTAAATTTTGCTATGCTGCAAAGAGTGGTCCTCATAGACTTAGCTTCCTTGTATCTAGAATTTTCATCTTCAACAAAATAAGTTCAACTTAATCTTTAGAGAGGCTCTTTTCACTTCCATGTAAGATGAGTACGCTCACTTGCAATTCTCCTTACACCACTAGTCCAGAGACAAATCCAGCAGCAGTAACACTGCCACCAATTAACACTTCAGCTTGTGATATTGATTCTGGTTAAGATGTCAGTTTCTCTGTTTGATAATGCTCATGATCATAGGTTTTTTGTACACCAATTTATTATTAATATCGACTTTTGATAAAATTGTCTCTGTGTTTTAAACCTACAAAGAAGTGTAAATTAAGAGTCATCCTTGTATTTATTGTCTATAAATCAGTATTTTACCTTGAAGGCTACACAGATTTAAAGTATATGTAATAACGAAGCATTGGCCGTGGCATTCAATGCTCTTTTTTCTACAGTTGCTTATAACATATTTTTCCTTTCTACTCTGTAGATAATGGAAGAAATCAAGACCAAATCTCACTCGGGTAAGAATGTCTGGATTTTAAATATAATGAGTATGTAGAGAATATAAAGTTTAGAAGATGGCACCATGTTTTCCTCTGTGTAAGACAATTTTAGCTTCTTGATTATTTGCTAATTAAAGCTGAATTATGCCTCAGATACAGTGTGCAATGCTGTTAGGACTCCCTGTCTGTGGCGGTGATTCAGCAGATAAAGTGTAAATGGGAGGATGGGAGATGGATGCCCAGGGTCCACATGAGGCCTGTTGGTCTTGTGCACTTCTAAAATCCTGATGAGCTTTGGTGAGATTGCAGGTGGAGACAGAGCATCCCCTCACATTTTCTGGATGGCTTGCCTGGATTGCTAGCCTGGGGCTTGCATTCATGAATGAGATTCAGCCATATAACTAAGGCTGAGGGTGAGGGTCAACACCCAAGTCTGTACGCCAATCACTACACCTACACACTGGCACGTATGTATCTGAAATCACACATACTTACATAACATGCCATGTACATATATGTAAAAATATTAGTTTTCAGGCTATTAATCCTGTTTACTAGTATGTTTGGGGCAAGTTGTCTGCTGGGAAGAGTGTGGGCAAAACTCTCCCAGACTTTGCTGAGAGGATCACCTCAGAATGGCCTTATAGACATGCTTTTGTTCAGCAGGTTTATTTCCCTCTTAATGAGTTCCACCTCTGTGGTGAATCCCAAGGTAGGTGGAAGTTAGAAAAAGAAAGAGTTTGCCAATCAGAAACCCTGAAATTTGGAACTTTTAGCTGTAGTTCAGATGAAGCAAAGCTGAGGGGACAATGTTGCTCTTCAGTGTCCTATAAAATGACTCAGAAATACCCTTGAGTATAAAGAGTTTCAACATATGCATGTGGACACACTATCAAAACATAGCTTCAAGGCCCCAAAATATGGTGACTTCTGAGACTGATGGCAACTTAATGCTTAGGCATAGAGTACATTTCATGTTTTCCCAAAGCAACTCCTTGGGAGAGAGTGCTATGAAATGAAATGCCTAATTTTTTTTTTTTTTTTTTTTTTTTTTTTTACAAAAAACAGGCTATGGTGCTTTAGGTTTGGGGGAACAAATGAAATAGGAGCATTAAGTGCACGAAACAATCAGTTACTGCAACCATCATAACAAGTGTGTGCAAAACTCGCCATTCCTCCCTCTTATGTGTTTAGGTGTGTGTGTGTGCATGTGTGTGCATGTGTGTGTGTGTGTGTGTGTGTGTGTGTTGCATGTGTGCATGTGCCTGTGCCTGTTGCATGCTTTGCATATTTCTCTGTGCAGACATGAAGGAAAGAGGAGGATATTGGTGTCTTGTATCATTCACTAACTTATCCACTTGACATAAGATATCTGACTGACCCTGGAGCTGGTCTGGCAGCCAACAAGCCCAAATGGTAGCCTCTCTCTTCTACCCACAGTACTGGGGTTACATGTGCATGTGTCCATGCCCAGTTTTTTATGTGGATGCTGAGGATTCAAACTCAGGTTGATCTGTGTTGGCAGCAAACATTCTTATTGACTGAGCCATCTCCCAATCCACTGGCTTTTTAAATTTTCATTTTAAATAGAACTATGAGTGAGTCTTCACTGAATGTTTCATAGATTGAGACAAGTTGAAACTGCCAAAGCAAAATTTTTTAAAACGGGGGTCAACATTGAATTACAAATGCAAAAATGTCACTTAGTGCACAGATAACAAATCTTTCAAGAGAGATGCTCTAAGGACCAAATTCACCCCTCACTGCATGTTTTTATTCTAAAGGCTCTCTGAAAATCCTCATGTTACAACAGAGGACAAGGCCACCAACACTACTAAGGTAAAATTCTCCTTTGTGAAATTTGTTTCCTTATGAATTTTGTTAAAATGCAGCAGTACTCTACCTATCACAGTTTTATATGGAAATTTGGTCAGAGAAAAGTGTTTGGTGTCAGTGAACCATCCTTTATATAAATTCCAGTGAGCAGTAAGTCCTTGCAGATAGCGGTGGCCCAATAAGAGAATGAACTGGAAACACAGGGAGGGGAAGATTGAATGCAGTTCTCATATATTAGAAGATGCCTGGTGCTTGATCAAGGATGGTTTGCAGAAATAGATACACATTAGACTGATTTTAAAAACAACTGTGGAATACATCTGAATACATTTTAGAGGGTCCAGTCATTGTAGTGGTCCAGGCATCACGCAGGTGCCTTTCTCTCAGCATAATGGCAGGTGGGTTTTCTCTTCCTTTGGATATTCCTATTTCAGGATCACAGATAAGAGCATCTCCTCTGTTTGTCTCTTTTCTTCTATATTTACATTAGAAAGAAATTTAGCTATTTGTAATCTGTTCAACCGAGTTTTCATTATGAAGAGATTACAGTGTGTTTTCTGTTTGATTCCACTAGGAGGATATTGACAACTCTTCCTCCAGGTACACGGTAAGTATTTTTCCCCAATTAGCCAGCAGTTGTAGATGTGAAGATTCAATTACCATATAGTAACACTTTGGTTTCTGGATATTTGCTCTGTATTTGACAATAATATACACTCTGATTATTTGTATCATGTTCACCTTTATCATGTTCATATTTTAGGGTTATACTTAGCATTTATGTGTTCATAGTAAAGTGACCTCATTACTGTGAGCTGCTGGAGGTTAGGAATCCTGTTTGTAACCTGGAGCCTTAGAGTAAGGGTTGTGTGAATCAGACATTGAATATTAATGACTTTTGAATGGGTCTCAGCAGAAAAATGGGTTACTATAAAGCAGTTTCACAGATCCTATGATATGGAGGACACTAGTGAGAGTTTATTTATAAGTGAAAAATAATATGGATTTTGCCTCCCAAACATAGAAGAGAAACACTGATGATAGGGGGGCTATTAAAATTAATAATCATCTCATATAATATTCAGAAATTTTAAAATATAGTGAGTTCAGTTTAGTCTCAATCACAGGGAAAGGCCAAATTTCTCAGTTCATGATTTTCTCAATCTAGCTAGTAAGGAATAAAGTAGCTTTGATATTGTGCACCCCAAATCAAGAGTTCATTTCCTAATCAAACTAGGAAAATTGACCCTCTGTCTTTTCATTGCAGATCATACAGAAACAAATTTTGTATTCCAAGAAGATCGCTGCAATGAAGAAGCAGGACCAAGAAGGTCTTAGCAAATCAGTAATGGACCTAAGTACTCTGGGAGAGACACTGCCTGAATTCTCTAGAAAGAAATCATGCTTGATGGTAATTCCTATTAATTTAAAAAGTAACATATTTGCCTATGAGAATGTTGACTTTGTGTTTCTATGTCTGTATAGTTGCAAATCATGTCAGAGAAGACAAAGCCTTGAACATATCTTTCACCTCCACCATACTCTCATTCCTATGAATACCCATGCTAGCTTGTCCCCTTCTAAGACAGTAGTTCTCAATATTGCTTATACTGTGAACATTTAACACATTTTCTCATGTGGTGATCCTAACTGTAAAATGATTTTTGCTGCTCCTTCATAACTGTAATTTTGCTAATGTGATGAATCATAATGTTGATATCTGTGTTTCCAGAAGGCCTTAGATGATCTCTGTAAAAAGGTCCTATGATCCCCAAATGGGTTCACAGGGTAAGTGATAGCAAATTAGACTATGGAAACAAAAATCAGAAAGTGAGTAACTTTTATCACAGTTGTGGCGGACTCATGAAATACAGAGAATAAAAAATAAAGACTCCTGGAGTCATAACTGTCAACATAGTGCACATAACATACATACAATGTTTTAAACTGATTTATTTTATGTGTATAAATATTTTGCATGCATTCTTTCCATTCACCTTGTGTGTGCTGCCCACAAACATCCAAGACAGCATTCAATCTCCTGGAATTGGTGTTCCAGATGGTTGTCAGCATATGTGTGGGTGCTGGAATCTAGTTCAGGTCTCTGCAAGAGGAACAACTGTCATAAACTACTGAGCCATCTTTCCAGTCCCCAGAATGAATATGTTTGATACACAAATAGAGAAGATGATCAGTGGAAATGAGTAGTCAGTCTCAGGATGTTTGCTAACTTCCTAGTCCTAGGCCACTTGACACATTGAAATCCAGAGAACACAGAGGCAGCACAAAGAGCAATAGGAGGCTGGGCATGTTGGTGCACACCTTTAATCCCTGTATTCAGGAAGCAGAGTCTGGCTGTTCTCTGTCAGTTCAAGGACACCCTGGTCTCTATTTATTTGAAGGATGGGGGGAGGCAAGGAACATGTGCACCAAGCAGAAGTGTGGTAGTCAAAGGATAATGTATATAGGGCTAAGTTTTCTCATTTTAGGCTCAGGTATCATTTTCAATTTATCAGTCATGCTGGCAAGTGCCTTCATCCATTGAACCATCACACTGGCTCTCTGATTTACACTTGGACTGAAATTTTGTAGCACTCACACACACCACCAGCGCCACCACCACCACCACCAAACAAGAGAAAAAGAGTGACAGAGAGAGAAGGGATATCATGTGTTTGAATACATTGTTACCTTTTAGGAGATTGGTTAACCTTTGGGACGGGATATGGTCTGGTTAGCAGAAGGTTGTCTGTGGTGGGTCTTAATGGTTATCATTACTTCTGGAATCAGTTCTGAGTTGTCTTCTTCCCTGTCTACCAGCATGTGAGAAGCTGTGACCATTGCCACAGACAAAGCTTCCCTGTTTGCTTTCCCTACTTCAACTGCTGCAGGGAAAGTCAGTCAGTTAGAGCAGGGAAGGCAAACAGTAGTTCCCTGTAGCCGTGAGCCTTCCTCCCTTGATTAAATAATCTCTGTCAGATATTTTGTCACAGCAACTATAAAAGTAATAGCCTTCTTTGTTTTTTATTTATTTATTTTACTTTTTCTTTTATTCTTTAAGACACTCTTTTCATTTTACATACCAATCCCAATTCCCTCTCCCTCCCTTCTGCCTGCTCTCCCAACTCCCCACCACCCCACTCCCCACTCCCCCACTCCCCATTCATTCCTCATGGAGGATGAGTTCTCCCACAGGGAGTCAACAAAGTCTGTCATATCCCTTGAGGCAGGACTAAGGCCATCCTCCCTGTATCTAGGCTGAGCAAAGTATCCCTCCATAGGGAATGGATTCCAAACAGCCAGTTCACACACTAGGGGTAAATAAATCCTGGACCCACTGCCAGTGGACCCAAAAAACTGACCAAACCATATGACTGTCACCCACATTCAGAGGGCCTAGTTTGGTCCTGTGCCAGTTCCCTAGTTGTCAGTCAAGAGCCAGTGAGCTCCCACAACCTTGGGTCAGCTGTTTCTGCAGTTTTTTTTCTATAATCGACCTCATATTTGATCACAAGAAAATCTCAACAGATAAAAAAAGTGGAAATGACCCCGTGTCTTATTGGATCACCTATGGGTTAAAGTTAGAATTCAGCAACACTAATGGCAAAACTCCCATATACTGATGGAAACTGAACAGTTCTCAACAGAATTACCCCTGGATCAAGGAAAAATAAAGGAAGCCTTCCTAGAATTTAATGAAAATGAATGCACGACATACCCAATTCTTTGGGATACTTTGAAAGCAGTACTAACAGGAAAATTCATGGCACTCAGTGCCTACATAAAGAACCTGGAGAAATCTCACACTAGCATCTTAACAGCACACCTGAAAGCTCTAGAACAAAAAAGGAGTCTCACCCAGGAGGAGTAGATACCAGGAAATTATCAATTTGAGGACTAAAATCAATAAAATAGAAGCAAAGTAAATGAAACAAAGAGTCACTGGGACAAAGAGATGGGTTTTTGAGAAAATCAGCAAGATAGACAAACCCTTATTCAAACTAATCGAAAGAAGGAGAGACAAAATCCAAATTAACATAATCAGAAATGAAAAGGGGGACATAACATCAGACACTGAGGAAATCCAGAAAATTATCAGGTCATATTTCAAAAATCTGTATTCGAGAAAAGTGGAAAATGTAAAGGAAATGGACAATTTTCGTTTGTGTTTTAACCCTTCAGAAGGTATAAAGCAAGCAGAAGAACTCGCTCTGTTTGTATCCCCTACTTAACCAATTGCCAGTTTCCATTACAAATGGCTAACAATTAGCTAGTTACCTTGAACCATCTAAATTCAACCTTAGGAGAGACAGGGGCAGACTTGACATAATTATTACACATAATAAAACCATTAGTAACTGTAATTTTAATATTGTCAGAACCAAACTCAAATGCTCTTTCTTTTAAGCCTAATCCAACTTGGTTTCTAAATTAATATTAGCTATTATGTATGATCAAAGTGAGTCATTGGTCAAGGGTGGTCTTAGCAGGGAGACAGATCTCAAGTGATTTTAATAAACAGACATTCAGTTGCCAGACATCTTCCAAGATTTCAGTGAAAAATCATTAGCATATAAATTGACATGATTAATACAAATGTAAATTTTAGACTAATGTCGAAATTTTAGGCTGATACAGAAAGTAAATGGCAATGTGATGAGTGTGGCGACCATGGAGTGTTCCCCTTGGCGTGAAGGGACCAACATCTTGGATATGCAAAGGATTAGAATACAAACCACAATATACAAACCACAATATCACTAACAGAAATGAGAGCTTAGCATATTCTTGAGTCAAATAAAGTGAAAGGGCAGTTGTTTCTATGCTTCAAAGATGTGACTGAAATAAAAACAGACATCACTTTTACGACGTTAGATTTGCATAAAACCATATTAATACACGAATTTTCCAGAACCCATTACCTGGTGATTGCAGTGTAATGAGTATAAAATCACCACCTGATCTAGATAATGTCAGTTCCCCAGGCTAACAGAATACTAGGCAGAAGTCTTCATGAAGAGCTACAGTCAGACACGCTGATAAATGACACAGGCTTCAAAGGCACAAAGATGATGCTTAGCTTAGGAGAAAGAAAAAGCTCACATCACAATGAGTTTTTCTCCATCTGCATTCTGAACTGATAAAAACCAATCTCTACCTCTATCTCTGTTTTTTTCTCCTCTCTCTCTCTCTCTCTCTCTCTGTCTCTCTCTCTCTCTCTCTCTCTCACACACACACACACACACTTCTTTTCATTCAAAAGCTAGAACACACACAGAGACACAAACACAGACACAGACACGCACACACACATATGCCAGCAGTTCAGAGCCCTTACATTGCAATCCTATTGATCTGAGTTCCATCCCAGAGAACACAACAAACAACAAGTGTCTCACATATGTAATCTCAACACCCCTAAATCCTGATTGGAGGCTGAGAGAGTAGAACAGCTCTGAAACCTACAAACCAGCCAGACTGGAACACACAGAGGCACAGAAACATTGAGAGACCCTGTCTCACCCAGTGTTATCCTCTGCCCTTCACACACACACACACACACACACACACACACACACATGCATGCACGTATACACACACGCACTAGCATAGCACAAACTGGCATGTTAATTCAAGCACACAAGCAAACACACACTCCAATAGTAATTTTTAGGATGATACAAAATTGATTAGTCAGATAATAAATGGTGTCTATATATTCATGTGTACTCTGTTGTGTAACTAACATATAAGGAAAATATTTTCAGGGTCTTCTCAGTCATCTTCAGTGTTTCTATTTTCCATGTGACATGTGTCCTGGAAAACTATACTTGTACCATGTGGCCCTTTCATTCCCTTTTTATAACTGGCTTAAGCATATTTAGTTAATGATGAAGCAATGAGTGAAACATATGGCGTGTGAAAATGTGTCTAAAGCTCACAAATCTCGAGCTTTGATGTGTTCACACTCATCATTCTCAAGGAAACCAATGAACTGAACATTTTCACATGATGCCCTTGAGCAGTTTGGACACACATGTAGCATGTGTACTTTCTCATCTGTTTTCCTTTACAAACAATGCTTTTCAAGCTATTTTGTTTACCATCTCCACGCTACATTGTTTGAACATGTTGGGTAAGCTTTGGAATGTTTGAGTTTTACACATAAGTAGCACAAATCCTCCTCAAGCCTGGTACAGAAAGGTAAACATAGACTGCTAAGTCAGGAGGCTCCCTGAGATGTCATGAATGATTAAGGCCTAGCATCATTATTTGTAATTAGAATAAAAGTTGGGGAGGCTCCCCTTCTGACAAACAGCATCAAATACATTTTCAAAACTGCCACTTCCTAAATGTATCTGACTAAATCAGGTGGTGTTCTTTGTATCCTATCTAAGCAAACATTATGGAATTGTCTCAACTCTTTTGGCATAATCCACTGCGAAATACCCCTTCATCCCTTCAAATGCATCCTTCAGGCTCTGTCCATGTCATTGGATGATGGTTAGATTATTTTCTATTGCTATAATAAAACACCATGCCCCAAGCAACATCTAGAAGGAATGGTTTATTCAGAGTGTGGCACATGGTTCCAATGGGATACATACAATTTTATCACCACCATGATTCAGGCTGGCAGGCATGGTGCTGTAGCAGCAGCTGAGAGTTACATTTAACTCTATACAAGAAACCAAGAGCTCGCTAGAAATGGCACCAGTCTTCTGAAACCCAAGACCACACAACTCCTCCACCAAGGCCACACCTCCTAACTTTCCCCCCAAATAGTTCCACTACCTGGAAACCAACATTCAAATATATGAGCCCATGAGTCTGTTCTCATTCAAGCCAGCACAGAGATGCTGGAACAGGCCATCGCATTCATCAGCCGTATATAAAAACAGTCATAGCTAAGGAGTAAGAGTTTGGATGGCATCTCCCAGAACCCTTCCTTCAGCCCCATAGTTTCCATCTGCTGTGGGTAGTAGCACACTTTATTCATTCATTTCAAAAGTCACCCTCACTATTCTGTTATCCCGGGAACCTAATGGGCAATTGTGAAAGCCATGGGGAAAGCAGTAGTGTGGTGCAGAAGAGAGAGGTTCT